GCCAAAAAAACCCTTCTACAGACGAATTCAGAGAGCCTCAGTAACCTGAGTGACAGCCTGAGCCCACCTGGAACACAAGCAGGGAATTTCCTGAACGTAGGCACTCCTGGCCACCATCTGGGGGTTCCAACCACCACTGTTGGGTCTGACGTTGCACCCGATAGTGGGATACGGAGGTCAGTGATGTTCAAAGTCGTTAAAATGCTAGACTTCTATAAATCACAGCCTTGATACAAGATATAATTCCTCTCTTTCACCATTCGTACTAGCATATGATTTGCACACGCATTTCCCCTAATTTAAGTGGGTATGTTTGTGTTCCTACTTACAAAAGAAGCTTAATTTAATGGATTCATAATATATTTTTGTTTTACCTTAAATACCCGTTTTCTATTACGAGTTATAAAAGAACATGGATTAGTTAAAGGGCACACTAAAAAAAATATATATATACACAGGCCATCACTCAAACAGTCATAGACACTCAAACACCTACATATACATTTACAGTAATATGCCAGTGATGATGATAATAATTTTGATGATAATGGTAGTGATGATGCTAATAAAAATAATGATAATAATAATGATAAAAATATAATGATTATAATAATGATGATGGTTATAATGATTATAATAATAACAATAACAGCAATAACAATATCGGTGATTATAATGATAATGGTAATGATAAGACAATAATGATAATGATAATAATAATAATGATAATAGTAATAATAATAGTGATAATAATAATAATAATAATAATAATAATAATAGTAGTAGTAGTAATAATAATAATAATAATAATAATAATAATAATAATAATAATAATAATAATTATTATTATTATTATTATTATTATTACTATTATTATTATTACTACTACTACTACTATTATTATTATTATTATTATTATTATTATTATTATTATTATTATTATTATTATTATTATTATTATTATTATCATTATTATTATTATGATAATAATAATAGTAACAATTATAGTAATAGCAATAATAATAATAATGATTATGATAAAAAAAAATAATAGTAATAATATTAGTGATAATAAGAATACTACTACTACTACTACTAATACTAATGATAATGATAATGATGATGATGATGATGATGATGATGATGATGATGATAATAATTATAATAATAGTAATAATAATAATAGTAGTAATAATAATGCTAATAATAATAATGATAATAATGATAATGATAATAATAGTAATAATAACAATTATAGTAATGGCAAAAATAATAACAAGGATAATGATAAAAAAGTGATAATGATGATGATGATGATAATGATAATGGTAATGATAATGATAATAATAGTAATAATATTAGTGATGATAAGGATACTACTACTACTACTACTAATACTAATGATAATGATAATGATGATGATGATGATGATGATAATAATAATGATAATAATAATAATGATTATAGTAATAGTAGTAATAACAATAGTAATAATAATAATGATAATAATAATAATGTTAATAATGATAATGATAATAATAGTAATAATAATAATAATAATAATAATGAAAATAGTAATGATGATTGTAATGATAATATTAATGATGATGATGATAAGGGTAATAATAATAATAATAGTGATAATAATAATGATAATAGTGATAATAATAATAATAATAATAATAATAATAATAATAATAATAATAATAATTACTCTAATAATACCATTGATAAGAAAGATAATGATAATAATAGTAATGATAGAAAATAATAATATTAATAATAATTACAACAATGATATTAATGGTACTAATGCTAATCCTGATATTATTTTCAGCACTAATACTGATCCTTATACTAATACTAATAGTACTGCTAATGATAATAATAATGATAATAACAGTGATATTAAATAATATAGCTGCTGTTACTGCTAATAAGAATGATAATAATACTGATGGAAATGATAATCAGTAATAATGATAATAAAAATAAGGACAGCGATAATGATAACAATAATAATGATTATAAAAATAGTATTGTTAATGATAATGAAAATAATAACGAAGACAATGGTAATAATGATAATGATGATAATGATATAACAATGATGATAATGATATAATGATGATAATGATAATAGTAATGATAATAACAATGACAATAAGTTATAATAATAATAACAATAACAATGATAATAATAACAATAATAATTATAATAACAATTATAATAATAATAATAACAATTATAGTAATAGCAAAAATAATAACAAGATAAAATAAAAAAGTCTGATAATGATGATGATGGATAAAATGATAATGGTAATGATACTGAAAATAATGTAATAAGTAATTAGTGAATAAGGATTACTACTACTTAATACTAAAGATAAATATAATGATGATAGAGATGATGCTGATTAATAATAATGATATACTAAAATGATTATAGTACTAGTAGAAAACAATAGAATAATAATAATGCTATAATAATAATGTA